GTCCAAGGATTCAGTCATCCACCAGGGGTCTTGGAACATATTCCTTTGGATAGGGGGGACTACCATATCTATTATCCCTGTGGTTATCTGACACCTCTAACTCAAGACCATGGTTTCTGCTCAGTACCTTTTATCACCTCTGAATTTCTTATCACTGTTTTCCTTAAGATATCATCTTCTCTAAGCCAGAGGTGGACTGTACCCTCATTTTATCCTCTAAAGTGAACACTCTGCTGAGGCTAGTTTATAGTCATCACTATTCTTTTATAAAAGTGTGTTAATTTTCTTATTACCATGCAAAACAATAGACTCTTAAAATGTATAATAGACTTATAGCCTCTCCAGTTTTTAGACTCTTTTCTCCCCTCCCACCCTCACCAAGGTCCAATAATACTATGGTATCTGTAGGTTTCCCACAATAGAGACACTGAGACTGGGAGATATTTGTAAGCTCATGACAAACTCTCCTATCCAGACTGGGCTCTTGGTTTTATCTCTAAAGGACCTTTTCATTATGCATATGAATTCTGCCTCCTACCTGTAATGCAAAAATAACTAGTTTTAAAAATAGTAAACATACTCTACACCCACCCACACTTTTCTTATTTGGTAATTTTTCTTCCAGTTCACAGACTTTGTTTCTTTGTTTTATTTAGAACAGAGCCAAGGAACAGCTTCCCGGCACAGACTTTTTCTGGTTTTGGCAGCTTTTCTGGTTTTGGTGATTGTTCTGATTTTGTCAGTTCCTACGGTAAAATGTTGCCCGGTCTGTACGTTAAGAAGTAACAATTTCAGCACAGGTAATATCTCATGAATAATTCGGGTCCTACCCCTGGGTGTTCCACATCATATATAAAGATAACATGGAAATACATGCCGCTACTGGGCATGTAAATAGATCTGAATTTTCTGGAGTCATTCACAAAATTTATCAAATGCTTTAAAATGCTTCTATGTTTCCACCTAACCATTCTACCTCTAAGAATTGGATCTTGAGTTAAATAATCAGGCATACCAACATGCATACAACCACATTCACTGCAGCACACTACCATTACTTCCAGTTTTCCTACTGTTTTCAATAAATAATAGGTGAACTAGTTAATTGAAAATCATTTGGTTTTCTTTATCAAAAAATTTTAATCTGGTGTTAAAAATGATAAACAGGGTGATTTATTTACCCTGCATAGAAAAAAAAGCCAAAGGTAAAAGAACAGCAGAAAGTTGGATGGAACTGGAGACCATTATCCTAAGTGAAGTAACCTAGGAACAGAAAACCAAATACCACCTGTTCTCACTTACAAGTGGGAGCTAAGCTATGGCTACGCATGGTCATACAGAGTGGTATAATGGACACTGGAGACTCAGAAGCGGGTGAGGGGTAGAAAATTACCTTTTGGGTATAAATTACCTTTTGGGTATTCAGGTGATGGGTACACTAAAAGCCCAGACTTCACCACTATATAATTCTTCCATGTAACAAAATTCCACTTGTACTCCCTAAATCTATTGAAATAAAACACATTTTAAAGAAGCTAAAACTTTAAAAAGTTGCCTTTGGTGTGATGGGACCATAGATTCTCCCTTTTCCTCACATCTCAGAAGGAAGCCCTGATATGTAAGTCTCTGGGCTTCCTGCTCACTACTTCCATTCCTGAGCTCTGTTCTCTTGTGCTCTGAGCTTAGTCCATGGTTGGTGCTGATCAAAACTGCATTGTTTTTATGGGTCATTTTAATCTTTGTTAAAATTTTTTTTCTAAACTAAATTTTATACAACAAACCTGTACTATTTACAGTAATTTAAAGTATCTTAAGATGTCATGGAACTTCTTGCTTTTATTAACAGAATTTGAGCTGGAAGGGATCTGGGCAAAAATTAGATCTAGTTGTTCTCTGCATTTTACAGATCAGGAAACAGGAATCCTGGAAGTGAGCTCAAGTGCCAAGCGGGCATGTGAAACAGATTTGTGTGCACCACCTAGAGCTGCGTAGCTAACCTAGTGGCAGAGGCAGGCCTAGGCCCCCAGCAGCTCTCCCTTATTTCATCATCCCCCTGAGAAGGCTCTGCCTTCCCTGGCAAGTTGAGATAGATCCTATGTCCCTTTCAAGTGTTCTTCTGGTTGATATTAGCCTATTGCCCATGCTAAAGTTAGGGGATTTTGGTTATAGCAGAAACCATTATTGAAGATAAAGTTTGAAGGGTCACAGCAAACAAGTTTCACCACTTCTAATCAGTGATCATTTGTAGTAATAGCCAGGCTAGTTCCTGTCCCTTAGCTGGCCAGATGTAAGAGGTCACGGGCAGACTAATTTGTCCCCCAACGGTAACCCCTGACTGAATATAATGGTACTTGTGATTAGATTAGCTTCAAATTATGAGAGAGGGGGTGCCACCTGCACTGCTCAAGAATGACAGTTTAGTTTCTACATTGGAAGTCTGCATAAGTCAGTTTCCAACAGAAAACACATGGCACACCAAACTGTACAAAGGGAACTCAGAAGACAGTACGTTCCCCCAGAGCTAGGAGCACCTGATTCACCACCAAACCTAAACTTGAAGGGACTAGGACAGGGAGCACTTCCCAAAACTTGGAAGGAGAGGGTCACATAAAATCAGTTGCCTTGTAAGGAGAGTGATCATCAATGGAAGGACACAGCCAGATCAAGGCGATTTATAGGGAAAGAGCGGGGGAATGAATGCCTGACTTCACTCTTCCTTCTCACTGATCTCTAACCCAACTAGAAACCAGAGGGAACAGACATGCTGCTGATGGAGTCCAACCAGGTGAGCCTCCCACAGCAGTGAGAAGAATGGCTTCTGGTTCTGGAGGAGCAGTCAGAAGATATGGGCAAAAACTATGTCAGAGTATTTGCCACTTAAAAAAAAATATTCTATAGTTCTGCAGTTAGATGGGCTGACAATACATTTGAAACTGTTATACTAAAAGCCACAAAACCTCGCCTACCTCCAGCTCCCTGGCTGTAGTTTCATTTGACTGTGGTTCATATATTTTTAAATTCCCTTTTCTATTACTGTTTTAAAATGACCTTCATCTAGGATAGGTACAAAAGCGCCAGATTTTAGGAAAGCCCAGAAGGAGGCCTTCCTTGAGAAATGACACTGTACTCCGTTCTTCTCTAACCATCACTCTCAGTCCCTGTTCGGCCATGACTTTTGCATTATTAGCAGTTGGGAGGAACCAGGCCAACAATCCTAAAGAGCCAGGATCTGCTGGGCTGACTGAACTGCCTCTGGTCCCTCTGGGGCACCTGAATCAACCATACAAATTTACTGCTGTTTCTGATGATGTGTTTCTACACTGAATACATTTTTAAGGCTGTTTGTTAAAAGAAAGACATCAAAGGGGGAGTAACGAAGGGGATTCTAATACCATAATTATATTGAGATAGGAACAAGGGAGAATTTCAGTGTTTAATTTTTTCATTTAATGTTTTAAAATTCTTTTTTCCTGTAGAAAGTAGCCACGTCTTTATTGGTGAGAGCGCCAGCGATGCTGACAATGCAGAAGAAAATTTGGTAAGGCGTCATTTCCTTTACCAAACCATTTGTAGTATAAAGATGCTACTATAAAAAGGTAATTGAAGTTCTGACTGATTCACATATCATCACGTAAGACTTTTACAGAGAAAAAACAGCAGGAGGGATTGCTGGATACTATAGGAAGAAAAAAAAATACAATTAGGCTTTTCCCAATGTCTGTAATTAAACAGGCTCTATGTGCTTAAATAAATGGTTGCTCTTCTCATCTCCTATTGTTATTCATAGAAAAGATCTCAAACAGCATTGAGCATATGAAGGTGCGACAACGTGCTTATTCTTCTGATAGGAGCATGGAGCGTGAGACGGTATAGCAGTGGACAGAAACGCAAATACAGATGTAATGGAGAAGAGCAGGCTATGGTTTCTGCCCAGACTCAAATAGCTGAACTTCCATACCTTTCCAGCCACTTCTAGGTTCCTTGGGGAATAACTCCCTTACAGATTAGTTTGACTGTGCACCTCCTTTTTGCTACCTACCTTTTACTTGTGTGTTCCATTAATCATAAATAAGGGCCAGGATCAGGGTAAACTCTTTTCCACTGTTAAAAACTGAGGAACGTCTAGCAGGGAGATTAAAATTAACTGATTAGACTCAGCTACTTATAACTGTCTCATGGATCTATAATTACAAATGCAAGCCATAGCCTAAAGCTCATCAATTTACCCCCTCCCCTCAGAAAAACCGCTGCCATCAAATAGACATTTAAAGTTCATTTTTCTTGGTTCTAGCCTCTTTCAGAATATTCAGCCAGTACATGTAATGAAGACAAGACTGTGACAACACATGACAAGCATCCTTAATATCCAGTGACTTCATCTCCCCTTTCTTCAGTGCAATCCCAGACAAGGGCTTGTCAGACCAGACAATTTTACTACTGTAAAGACTGGTAACCATTCTCTTTTATGGTATCACATTACTCTTCAAGACATACGCATCATTTGCTGATCTCCTACCTACATTAAGAGTGTAAATGCCTGGATGTTAAGGATTCCAATTCAACTTAGAAGAGAACTGTCTCATTCATTTACATTCCTGCTACAGTCAGCCCAGGAGGTTACAACAAGGCTTTCGCTGAGAACTGGGAAGAAATGTTTACCACTAGGAGCTGATTCAAAATGTGATCAACTGATAATGGGTGAGAGAATAGGTAGTCACCTTAGTGGAAAGGTCAAAAACCAAGGCCTAGAAACCAAGACAATTGATTTAATAAGATATTTTATTCTAGTTTTATATAAATGGTTATATCAGGGTGAGCAACTAGATTTAGGATGGTGAGTCTTAGGGGACCCTGAAGAGTAAGAATGTCAGTATCTCTAAGACCACTTAGGGAAAGGGGGTGAAATCAACACAAGAATTAATATTTCTCAAGTTGGGTTATGCCTGCTAACACCAGGCTTACATAGTTCAGTGATTCTAGTCATGAAGATAGATTAATGAACTCTTCTGGTTCATATTGTTAATCAGCCTTGCCATAGATTTAGATTTCCATATAAATTTTTATGCAAGGAGAGAAGGGAGAGCCCAGAAGACTTGATGATCTGGTCTCCTTAATTTTAATCATCAGTTTATATGAAAGAAATAATCTAATGTTAATGCTTGTGAATTTGTCACTATAACCAGGCTTTTTGTGACTTCGTTGATCAAGGTTCTGATCCTATAGTTTATTGAAGAAAACAAATTCTGAATTGTGGTTTTGGTGCCATCTGGTCCGATTTTTCTCCCATGTACATACAGGGTATCCCAAACATCTCCATACAAAGGTACATTTAGTTACAATTTCCCATTTTCCCTATGTATAGCGACTTTTGGGACACCCTGTAGTTTTCTTAATGCTAAGTTTTTGCTACAATGTTGTGACAGTTACTCAAATTAAAACTGGATGTGTGTTTCCAAGCTGAAGTTTGCTGATACTGGTTTTACTGAGTGCCTGAGTGTGGAGAAACAATAGCATTCCAGTTTCAGGATTGGTAGTGTGACAACAGCAAATTTCTACGACCAGGTTTGGGATATGGAGATGTTTCCTGGATGTAAATATTGGGTTATTAAAGGGTAATTTCAAATTTATTTTTACAAAAGCTTTTTTAAAATTACTATTCCAGACAAAAACCCTTAAAAGTCACATGTTACATGTTTAGCATTTTCTCACTGGTTTGAGATCGAGAGCCCATTGCTTTGGATACAGCATGACAGACACCCCCGGTAGTTCACTGTGTAGCTGTGCCACCCACTCTGTCCCTATCACCAAACTCAAATTTGGTTCAGCTTGCTCAGAGTGGGCCTGATTTGGGGGAAGATCAGCTTTAATCTGTCTGAGTCAAACCAGGCAATTCTAGCCCTCTTGCTACTAGTCTGGCTTAGCGCGGGCTTATGAGGAAATCTGATCAATAGGATAGAAAGAAAAGTATCCCAGAGGGGTAATTCTGGAAAGGTGTTTCGTTTTTAGAAGGACAAATTTAAAGACTAACACCACTGAAGATGTCAGACAAGAAAGAACCTGGGTCCTTTGATACTGCTGAGCCCCTGAATTAATCCATGAATTGGGGTTGGATCAGAGAAGGCAGGCCACTGAGAATGACAGAGTAAGGATCTATTACAGAGACTCAACCTTACCCAAGTGCTGGTGGAGCAGTCTATGCCAGGCTGCTGCCTCCACATCTGGTACTGGGCCTGAAGTCGCTGTAGGTGGGCTGTGCCAGCAGTTGGGAAGAAGAGTCCGTTAAAACAAACAGAGCCCATGTCTGTGTCTTGCGGCCTCCATGGCAATGCTGTGGGTGATCTGCAGGAGGAACTTGTGCCCGTTGCCATGGAGCTGCCCACGTACCCGGCCTCTGCAAAACTGGAGGAGGAGACTGGGAGGAACTGGAAGAACTATGGGTCCAGGGAACTGTCACTGATCTCACCTTTTCGTCCTTCGGTAAAATTTTCAAGCTGTCCCAAGGTTTTGTCTACAAGTTAAAATGCTAAGAGAAAATGTTATCAACTTTTACCACTACTGGCTAAAGACATAGATTCGTGGATCTAGGGATGAGTCAAAGTTCACTACAGTAACAACCATTTACCAACATGCCCTAGTCCCCATGGAGTATGATTGGTCTAAGGATGTCTTCTATGAGTCTTACCCATTCAGAGGCAATACTAACAACACATCAAGTATTAATTCATTTCTTAACATCAGAATTTAAAAGATTCTTGCCTCTATTTAATCTGTCATGTGAAATGTTAGAAGGTAGTTTACTTGCATTGGAGGATCAAAAAAATCCCCAATAACCTTGGAAGCAATGATAGTCCCTTTAATTATTACATTTTTCTAATCTCTTATGTTTATAGGGTATGAAAAGCAATTTAAACAGAAATGCAGTTTGTTTGAAATGTAGCCTAAGTTTTTGGTTGTGAACCGGCATTTTCCTTATACATTTTCAACTGTTGTCCTTTGAAAGCAGGGACTGCTTATTCTTCTTGAACCTGAAAAACAGAATGTCAGTGTATTCTGTGAAATTCCTGCAACTTTCACCAGTGGAACACATGCCCAGAATCAAGCTGAGGCCTTTCCAGAGGTGAGCCAGCCTTAGCCAACTCTTCATTAACTTCAAAGGGAGGCAGAGAATTGAGGCAATTATCTGCATTATAGAAAGCAGACACGAGTAATTCACCCCAAGGGCATGCTTGGTCACTCTCAATTTTCTGCTGCCTTTCCTTGCCAGTGAAGGCAACGCCCTGTTCAGCTGACCCCATGAGGGGAAAGATTCTGCAGCCACATCACCAGTCTGCTTCACAGCCAGGACACAGAATTCTATCAGAAAACCTTTTTCTTGTACTTATGACAGTTAAAAGGATTGTGAGGCTTTTTTTTTTTTTTTCTGTGAATGGGAAACAATTAGTCACTGCACTGCCAAGGAAGGTTTTCCTATTCCTCTCAAAAGCAATTTCTGCTTCACTGGCTGTATTCTTTGTTGGAAATAACTGTGACAAAGTCGAATGCATGGCATCTGTTTGAGAGGCCCTTCGACCTCCTGCAGCTGAGTGCAATTGCAGCACATGGGAGGCACCTCCCTAAACGAATAATTACATCGGGTTGCTGGCAGGCTCTGCACAGGAGACCCTAAATCCAGTGCCGTAACACTGCTCAAATTGAGGTCAGAGGTCAAACCATTTAACTGGACCTCTCCATAGGGGACTTACCCTTGAGACAGCTATTCAATCATCAGTAAGAAACTTCTGGAGTCTGCCAATGATTCATGCTTCTCATATTTAGATCTAAAAATGTTCAATATAACCAACTTTTAGTCTCTCCTTCAAAAGAGTTCCTTTTGACCTCTCTTATTTACATGTATTACTGGCAATGCTATGGACTTGCAGGGTTACTAGTAATTCATTTATAATAAGAAAGAGGGATAGTTATGCACGAAATTTTTAAAAATGAAATGATGGTGCCTTTCTGTGCTAGGAACTATGTTCGGTGCTAGTATCACATTATGTAATCTCCTTTAACTTCCTTCTGCTAAAGCCAGACCTCATTAAAAAACTGTTCCTGGGAAAATATCAATAAGGAAGCTGAGGCTACCCTGACCCTGCCAGACATTCAGTTCAGTGTTCTTTGTCACTCTGTCACTTTACTAGTAAAATTAGGGCAGTGGCCTCTACCACTGGATTAGAACGGCCATTTCAAGGGCCACCGACATAGAAAGATCTTTTCTCAGCGTTTTAGGGCAAAATGAGAACTAAAAAGCAGGATTCTTGTGTTTGTTTTCTTTCACTGCCCCAGTTTTAAACATCTTCCGTTTTGGTCCCCTTATTAACACAGTACAAAGTCACGCACATGTCTACCATGGAAAAAGTTCACGCAGAATTTCAAGCAGATCCACCCGTGCTTTTTAAAATCATTCTTGATTATTTTACACAAATGAGTCAAGGTCCCAGAGCCTGCTAGTTAACATGGAATTAAGCATTTGAGAAGTATAAGCAATGTACATACACTCAAACACTTAGTATTTCATTCTATCTGGAAAAATATAGTAAATATGGAAAGATTTTATTGGAACTTTTTGTTGTTTAAAAGCTTTTAAAGGGAAAAATTTCTTGTTATATTGGTCTATGCAATGACATGGGCCCTAAACAACATGATTTAAGAGTGAGAACAGAATTAAATATATGCCATACCTTTTTCCCCAAACTCTTTTGCTTTAATCTTGAATTTATTGACTTAAGATTCTGCCACCTCTGCCCTTTCCTTCACTTTGTTCAACTCATGTTGCTGCTACTTATACTTGGAAAGATATTGATTGGCTTGTGCTTCCTATAAAAATAATAAAAAAAAAAACCCTCTGTGCCTATGTAGTCAATTTTTTTTGCTTTGAGAGGAGAAAGTTGAAAAATGTGAAAGGAATCTAAAGTTCTGAGTATTGAATGGAATATCATATTTTGATATGATATATAGGGATTCAGATTTTCTAGCAGGCACAAGATCCATTTTTATAACTTTTGTTCCCTGGAAATTCAGAACCTAGTCAACAGTTTTCATCAACTGGATGCAGTATAGCATTCACTGACTTGGTATATGATAAAATTACCACAGTTGTTTGCTTAGCCAGTTTAACATCCTGTTCTATCTTTTGGTAGAGGGGGCTTGTCTTTAAAATTATATGGGTCAACAGGTAATTATTAGACATAGCAGTGTTTTAGACCAAATCATTTAAATAATCAATTTGAAACCCCTCAAGAGATATTATTAAGGATAAACCAATATATATAGCACTTAATTACATTCCATGTAGCTATAAACACAGGGAAGGCAAGTACATTTCAAGTGATGGTGGTTTTGTCTACAACCATGTCCAGGATCATCAAGAAAAAATACTGTGAACTGTGTTTATGGTCAACTAAGGCTTGGGGGTGAGAGAGGCCCCAGGGGGACTACTCTGCCAAAAATTTGCCATCCCTACCTAACACCCTGCTCTTACTTGCCTAGTTTCTTGGCGTGCACATGCTTAGGTGTCACCATGAGGTCAAAGGAGAGAGCCCTGGCTTCCTCGAGGGTAAAGCAGCACACATTTTTACCATGGGCAATAACTGTAACTTGAGAAAAACCAGAGAATGAGCAGACTCTAAGCCAAGCAGGTCCTCTCCAACAAGCTGCTCGCCTAGTGTAGGGCCACATGTCTCTGTTAATCAAAACTAATGCTGGGACATCCCTGAGGCTGCAACTGCCCCAGGCACTTACCGCAGCCTCCACTTGCTGCTTGTAGCTTTGCACTTTCTGCTGAAGTTTTTCCATTGGAGTCTGCATCCTGCTCAGATTCTTGTCTTCCTCGGCCTGAAATGCACAGGTATGTATGTGAAGGGGATTGGAGGATCCAGCAGACCTCACCAAGGGGTAGCTTCATGCAAGGAAATAAAGATTAGAAAACGTTATTAAACATCATCTGAAAGTTGTGATTTGCAAAATGGTTTAACTCTACTTGTCCCAAGAAATTAATAATCGGAACTCTAAGGACCAAGTCATTTCTCCTGATCCACCACGGCACTCCACCGGCCTTTGCTGAAATGGAAGTTACAGCCCTTAGGTTCGGTTTGGTCTTCAGCTTTTCCATGCCAATCAAGCTATGCCTGCCTGGGGTTTTTCAGTAAGAATGAAGTAGATTATTATAAAAGCCACATATGTAAAACTGAAAACTAATCATTCCCCAATCGAAACAATGTTTCTTTTGAATTTTCTAACTGATCTTTGGCTTTGGGTAATGGAATTACAGGAAAGGCAAGTTTTCTGAAATTGTGGTGTGGGCATCATCGGAGATAGCTGTGGGGACTTCAGTGCGCCCATTCTCGTAGCTTCAATTACAGTCAGGCTCGGGCGGGAGAAGGGAAATCTCAGGGGACAGTGTGTCTCAGCGGTGCTCCGCGGAGGTTTGGTATTCTGAGGAGGAAGGAGGGGAGAGGGGAGCAGATAGTAGGGCTCTGTATTCCCCATATCCCCTTGACTGGAGCATTTCCACTTTGGAGCTGTTGAACTTCCCGAAGGAAGACTATAGCTCCACTCGCTGAGAGTTGAGAAACTGATTTAATCAAGAAATAACCTACCCCTGCTGCTTAAACTTTTTTGCTGGCTCCATTTTACCTATTCCATCAACCATCACCTCCTTTGGCAACATCCATGCTCCACCCCACCCCCATCCCCCTGCTCCGCCCCGCCACTTACCTTTCACTGCCCCTCACAAACCTTCCACTCCAACTGGGCTCTTGGTTTCCTCTTTCCCCACAGCTCCCCGCCTTACTCCATCATTCCAAGATCTAGTCAAGTTGTTGCCATCATCTGGAATGCCCCACCCCCACATTAAAATATAATCTGACAGTAGATCATTAATTACTAAGTTTAAGGAATGGATACATAGGAAACCACCTAGCTGGGGAACTGACACAAGTCTATGTTTTAAATAGAATCCCTTTTCTGTTCTCACCTGCCTATTCCTCTACCTCTCGGGTTTATGAAATTTGAAAATTCACAGAATTATGTGTTTACAGTAAAATCTAAAATCTACACAGGTTTCACTGCTGATAAGCAATTTGTTGAGGGGAGGGACGTGGTAAAGGAGGCCACATAGAAGAAAACTGAAAAAGACTAGAAGTGGTTGCTGACATTAATGATGTTCCTCCCACTTGGGAAGGCAAAGCTGTTGATGTTAGGCTGAGGTTCACATCTCAACTGTGAGGCTTTCAGTAACTGTGGGGCCCATGGTTGTGCACCACAGATTTCCCTTCAAGAAAAGAACTTGCCATTTAGCTGTGAGAAGGGCAGTTCCCTGATAACCTCCAACAGCAGTGCCTTTGGGTCCTGCTATAGCATTGGCGCTCAGGCCACACACTTCCAAGGCAGCCCCCAGGCACTAACTGGGCACAGCAGAGTTACGAGTGTCTCGCCGTGTCTACCCAACATGAGACTCCTTTCCTGGTAATCTTTGTGGAGACTTGCTCAGAGCTGCATTGCAGTCTGAGGCCCTTTCCATCCAATCTTGCTCCCTCAGCCTTTCCTTTTGCATCTCTGCCTGATCCTGTTTTGCTCTCACCTTCATTGTTCACAGCTGCTACCACCAGCCAGTAAATCTCCTGTACTTCTAACTCCACCTTGGCATCTGGTTTCTGGAGAACCCACCCAACACAGCAACTTAACCAAATTTTGTTTCCTTATCCCTAAAAATAAAGATATTATATTCTTGACTAGATTTGAAAGAATTAAACAATATCTACACCCAGATTCCTGAATATAGGAGGCAGTTGAAGGTAAAACAGAGCAGGTAGGAAGATAGTGCGGAGCAAGATAGCAGAATAGAAACCTCCAGTGATCGTCCCCTCCCCGCAAATACCTACTTCAACAACTATCCACACAAGCAAAGCACCTTCAGAAGAACCAAAAATCAATTCACCAAGATAGTGCCACTGGGAGTCTGCCAAAGTAACAGCATGACTGGAATTGGGGCACCCCCAATGCTGATAAGACTGCGATGACCAGATACTTAGACCATAACACTCAATTCCCTCTGAGTATCTGGAAAGTCTTCTTAAGAAGGATGGATTCAAACAAGCCCAAACTGTGAAGATTAAAATAAATACCTAACTATTCAATGCTCAGACGTGGACAAATATCCACAAGCATCAAGAACATCCAGGAAGACATGACCTCACTAAACTAAATAAGGTACCAGTGACCAATCCCAGAGTGATGGATATAGGTGACGTTTCAGACACAGAATTCAAAATAGCTGTCCTGAAGAAGATCAATGAACTTCAAGACAACACAGAGAAGGAATTCAGAAGTTTATCAGAGAAATTTAACAGTCCGAAATAGTTCTTTAAAAAAAGTAAAAATTCTAGAGCTTAAGAATTCAACTGACAAACTGAGAAATGCATCAGAGTCTCTCGACAACAGAACTGACCAAGCACAAGAGAGAATTAGTGAGCTTGAAGACAGGCTATTTAAAAATACATAGTCAGAAGAGAGAAAAGAATAAATAAGAATGAGGCATGCATACAGGATCTATTATAGAAAACAGCCTCAAAAGAGCAAATCTAAGAGTTATTGGCCTTAAAAAGGAGGGAAAGAGAGATTGGGGTAGAAAGTTTATTTAAATAAATAACAACCAAGAACATTCTAAGCCTACAGAAAGATATCAATATTAAGGTACAAGAAGGTCATAGAACACCAAGCAGATTTAACCCAAACAAGGCTACCCTAAGGCATTTAATAAGCTACCAAAGGACACAGATTTTTAAAAAAGGTCCTAAGGTAGGCTATAAAAGAAAAAAATAACACATAAAAGAGCTCTGATACGTCTGGCAGCAGACTTCTCAGTGGAAACCATACGGGCCAGAGGAGAGTGGCATGACATATTCAAAGTGCTGAAGGGAAAAAACCCAAACCCTAAAATATTATATCCTGCAAAAACTATCCTTCAAACTTGAAGGAGAAATAAAGACCTTCCCAGATAAACAAAAGCTGAGGCATTTCATCAACACCAGACCTGTCCTACAAGAAATGCTAAAAGGAGTTCTTCAATCTGACAGAAAAGGACATTAATGAAGAGCGGCAAATCTTCTGAAGGTAGATAACTCACTGTAAGTGTAAGGACACAAATACAGAGTACTCTATTGCTGTAACTGTGGTGTATAAACCACTTCTATCTGGAGTAGGAAGACTAAAATACTAACCTATCAAAAATAACTACAATCATTTTTTCAAATAACATAGTATAAAAAGATATGGATAGAAACAAAAACAGTTAAAAAGCTGGGGGGATATAGTGAAAGGGTAGAATTTCTGTTAGATTTCTCTTGTTTATTTGTTTGGTTGTAAACAGAGTTGTCATGTGTTTAAAATAATTGGTAACAAAATGTTGTTTACAAGCCTCATGTAACCTCAAATAAAAAACCTACAACAGATCCACAAAAACAAAAAAGTGAGAAATTAAACTACATTACTAGAGAATATCACTTTTAACAAAGGAAGACAGGAAGGAAGGAAGAGAGGACCACAAAACAAGGGGAAATCAAACAACGACATGTCAGTAGTAGGTCTTTACCTGTCTATAATAACATTGAATGTGAATGGACTAAACTCTCCAATCAAAAGACACAGAGTGGCTGAATAGATGAAAAAACAAGAGCCAACTATATATTGTCTGCAAGAAACACACTTTACCTATAAAGATAAATATAGACTGAAAGGGATGGAAAAAGATATTCCATGCAAATGGAAACCAAAAAAGAGCAGGAATAACTATACTTCTTTCAGATAAAATAGATTTCAGACAAAAACTATAAAAAGAGACAAAGAAGGTCATTATATAAATCTAAGACCTGAAACTATAAAACTACTAAAAGACAACATTGGGGAAATGCTTCAGGACATTGGTCTGGGCAAGGACTTTTTGAGTAACACCCCCAAAGCACAGACAACCAAAGCAAAATTAGACAAACGGGATCATATCAAGCTGAAAACCTTCTGCACAGCACACCCACAAAAAATAATCAACAAAGAGTCAATCCACAGAATGGGAGAAAATATTTGCAAACTACCCATCTGACCAGGGATTAAATACTAGAATAGGAACTCTAACAACTTGATAGGAAACAAACAAATAATCCAATTAAAAATGACCAAAAGATCTGAATAGACATTTCTCAAAAGAAGACATACAGATAGCCAACAGGTATATGAAAAAATGTTCAACATCATTAGTCATCAGCAAAATGCCAGTCAAAACTGCAATGAGGCAGAGAGTAGAATGATAGTTATCAGAGGCTGGGAAGGGTAGTGGGGAAGGAGGAATAAAGTGGAGATCGTTAATGGGTGCAAAAATATAGTTAGATGGCTAGATAGAATGAACAATATTTGATAGCACAACAAAGTGACTATAAACAACAATAAGTTAGGGTATACTTTAAAATAACTGTAATAAAAGAGAAGAATTGGAATGTTCCTAACACAAAGAAATGTTAAATGCCTGAGGTGATGGAAACCCCAATTACCCTGATTTGATTAATTCACATTGTATACCTGTATCAAAACTTCACATGTACCCTATAAAGATATACAACTATTATGCACTCATAAGAAATTTTTTTAAAAAAAAACCACAGCAGGTGGGAGAAGAGTTGGGGACAGAGGAACTGTCTTGACATTCTATAACAAGTTCCTAATCTTATGTCTTGCTTTATAGAACATTTTTCTAGGCACCGGAGAAAGAAAATAGGATGAGTTTCCAAATGTTAGAGGAACATAAAGAAGATAAATGGTCAGTGGGGACTAGTCATAGAACTGCTGTGGAGTGAGGTCACATTTGATTCCTTTCCCAGAGGATTTTTCCTAGGAAAAATAAAACTACATTTATGTCTGTTTCAAAATGATATTTTCAATTGGCACCTGTGAATGGGCTATCACCAAATACCCTGCCTCATAGTTCTGATGATTATTTTGGTGACTAAATTGACTCAGCATTGAGCTTGAATATTTCAAAACCAAGTATTTATATCAAGAAATGTGGAGCGTCCTCCAATATCTCTTTAACTTACAGGGTCTAGCCTGACACCTTCCATAAAGTAGGACCTCAAAAGGTATTATCTGATTTGATGGCAGAAAATCATTGCATAACTGAATAGACCTACTCTATGCATTGTGCAGATACTTGGAAGAAATTAAGAAATGCACCTCCATATTAGTACACCAGAAACACTAAGACTATCGCAACAAAGAAGCAAAGATAAGATACAACAGAAAAAGAATGCGTTCCTTGGAACAATGAAAACCAAAAAAGTATAACTTTGGCGCTTTGTACTATAGTGAAGTTGTTTACAGAAAACAATAAGAATAATCGATGGGAAAATAAAATGAAGAAAAATCCAGGCATATTAACAAGCAGCATTTCAGTCCATCAACATGGGTGGCTTCCCTACCCTTCTTAAGAGTAGAATAACAACCTTTCATTTTCCCAAGGTTTTTACTTACTTAGCCACACATACCCTGGGCTCCCTCCTTGGTGGCTCTGATATACCTAGCACGATCTAAAGAAGTGTCAGACTAACTCATCTTAGAAAAAGAACCACTTAGTAATAAAAGAGCTGTACAACTAGCTCATTTCATCTTAATTAGCCTAAGATGATGCTTCTGAAGTGCTCTGCTTTCTTATCAGCACCATCCTTCCTGCTGCAAGGAAGGCAGGCTTTGACATCCCTAACAACTCAGCCTCGAGAACCAGAATCAGGCCTGGCAGATTTTGCATTAGTACTGTCAAAGGAGCTATAAAAACGGTGCCTAAAATGAGTTTGCCTTTTCATTGAAATAAGCTATAGCGTGCAGTGTGAGGGGGCTGGAAAGGAACTTTTGGCATCTGTGTTCAACAACTAAAGTATGCACACCTACTGTGTGCAAGGAGGATGCTACACCCTAGGGGAGAGAACAATACAGTGCTCTTGTTATCAGGGAATCGATGTCTACTGCATTAGAAAGAAAAGGGGAGGAAGTGAAAATGTATTTGAAGGATTATACTGTTACTCTGAAAATGCATTAGTTACTTGTAAGGTGTCTGCCCACCTCTTCAATTATTTGCCTGGGACCAATGTTATTCAACAGGTTAGATTCAGAAACCACAGAGAGGCCTCTCTGGCAGATGCGCTTTACACCTGGCACCAACAACAGAATCCTCAGTGGCCTTGAGTGTTTGTGCAACCAGAAAATAGGAGTGGAAACATTCCCAGCTCCAATTTAGTCAGTGTCCCACGTAACCTGCTGGCTGGATAGCTACGCCGAGCCTCTGCCAGTCACTTCATTTATATGTTGTTCTCGCTCAGCCTCTCACAGGAAGACATCTTTTTGAACATGCTGCAAACACTACCGTGTGAAAAAATACGGATGGTATAAATAGCTTTTCACTTCTAATTGCAACTTGCCACTCACATTTTGTTTCCTGAGAGCTCTGAAAAAAGACAGACCCAAACCACTAATAGCACAGGAGCCCTGGGAGGGTGAGTCAGTGTCTACTGCTGGGGAAGAACAAAGATGGAGGCAGAACTGCAGGAGTCCCAGAAGGCCATTTCAGGCTTGAAGGAGCATGTTTCTGCAGGGGAGAGCCCAGCCAGCCACACAGGTAATGGTCTCCTGGCATACCTGGTAGAGGTCAGCTCTCTGATGCATCGCTCAAGTCTGTGGGCTCCCCTCTGGGCCTCCGTGTTGTGATGAATTTCACCCTCCAGTTCACCTTCCAATTCACGAACCTGCAACCAAACGGCGACCTCAGACCACATGCTGGCAGCAAGGCTGGCATTATGTTCGCCAATTGGCATGATCGTTTGAAATAGAGCGAAAATTAATAGTCAAGGGAGGATACACCGCTTTCTTTCTGGTAGTGATTAAACAGCGCAACCTCTCTGGGAAAACTTCCTAGCTAAAAGCAAGTTAGTTAAACTATGTGAGTTCATAAAAGGACTGCTTAGACTCTGAAGGACTTGAAAGGCTAATTCATGCAGAGGTAATAAGCTTCTCTCCCTAGATTACAAAATCACACCCACACGTGTGTATGGATCAGTGCATGGAAGTAGAGAGTAAGCTATACGTAGCATACTGTACAGATGCAGCCAATATACTACCTAAATCTTAAGCTTCTTTCTCCACATTCAGCTCTAACTCTCTAGAGAAATCAGATCCTATGTCTGTCACACGTATGTCACATACCGCCCTATGGCCCTGCTTTGTGGGAAAGCTATAGTACAGATGAACCGCCTGCAGCCTTATAGAGTTACACAACAAGGTTAACGTAACAGTCATTCAACAAAGACGCCTACTACACACCACGGCCCAGTGCCAGGGATATAGCGGTGAACAAAACCGACAAAAATCTCTTCGCTGTGTAAGCATACATTCTCAGGGGAAGCAGACAGACAAAACAAAGTAAACTACAGAGTATGTTTGATGGTGACAAGTGCTATGGAGAGAAATAAGGCAGAAATGGTGGCAGGGAGATGACGGGGCTAAGGCTGCTGGCCTGGGGGCCTCTTGCCCAGTTATCTAAGCCTCTTTCCCTGCCTTCTCCTTGACTCCAATGCCGCCTTCTCCAGGAGGCCTCCCCGACCTCCTTTTAAAATAGAGAAGCCCAGTCAGTGCTCTGAGGCCTGAGCTGCCTGACAGTCTGCCCCCCACCTCCAGTTCCGCTCCCTTCCCCCGACCACTGCCGCCACTCTGCCCTCCCATTCTTCCTGGGAGGGGCACAGCAGTGAGGGGGGAGGACAGGTGTGTGAACTCCTTTGGAGGAAGCCCATTAAAACAAAATCCTCCGGATGCCTCTCACACAGGAACCTAACACACAGTTCTGTCTGTTGGGATGTGAGAGAACAGAGGCTCCCTCTACTTTTTAAAGGACTTGTTAAGGTTTTCTGCCTTTTTTTGAAAAAATGATTAAGGAAAAACTGCTTTACTAAAGCAAATTGAAGGCATCATCTAATTTTACCTGTAAATACTATTTTATGTAATCCTAACAGATAACAATGGAATTATGAAGTTTTTAAGAAAATTAATTATAATTCTTTAGTATCTTTGATATTCAGGTGTTCTTTGCTACTGAGTTATCATCGGTTCTAGGCCATAACTGTGGACAAATAGCAGGTGGAAATAAAATCCTGCAATCTTATATTTGAGTTGGACAAAGCAGTATTATTCATGTATTTTTTTAAGGGGGAAATGCATAAGTTCTTTGATTTTATGTTTTTTCTCTTATACTAAAAATCATGGTTTTTGTGTATGCTATTGGATAAATAATTCTATTAGTGGCAATAAAATATTTTAAAACTATAAATGCAGTTTGTTTCTTTTGCCGTTTTTTGTCTTTATATGTTCCACAAGGTATGTGCAGACAAAACACTAAGTTTAAAAGCCACTGAGAGCCTGTAATCCTAGCACTCTGGGAGGCCGAGGCAGATGGATCGTTTGAGCTCTGGAGTTCGAGACCAGCCTGAGCAAGAGCGAGATCCAGTCTCTACTAAAAGAATAGAAATTAGCTGGACAACTAAAAATATATATATATAAAAAAATTAGCTGGGCATGGTGGTGCATGCCTGTAGTCCCAGCTACTCGGGAGGCTGAGGCAGAAGGATTGCTTGAGCCCAGGAGTTTGA